CAGTGGAAAGACGACAGCGATGAGCCTGTCTATTGAGATCAAAAGAAGGCTTCCAATGGAAACCACAAGAGAAACATCTGGGAGAAAGTAGGCAAGTTTGCATAGAATGTTTCCCAGAAGCCACGGACGATCAACTTTCCAGGAACTCGATCCTGAAATGATCTCAACGATCTTCACAGTCATGACGGTCAAAGGGTTGAAGAGGTCGGATACAGCCATGTTGAAAACGAAGTAATTGATGGATCTTCGTAGCTGCTTGTTCTTGTAAATGACCACAAGAAGAAAGATATTTCCGAAAAACGAAACCAGGAAAATGAATATATAAGCTAGAGCTTTCGCTGTAATCTCTACAGCGGAGTCGGCTGTTATTTCACAAGCTTGGTCGGAATTACTCGAGTCTGTATGGCCGGTTGTCTGTGAGCTGTTTTCAAAGAAATGCCTCACGCTTATGTTGACAGTCATTATCTCCCTTGATACTCGCCAATTCGCGAGTGAGCTATCCAAAGGTTAGATATCTCAACGCTTAACTTCGATGTAGTCAGTGTTTTGTTCGACCAAAGTGTTAAGGATGGGTCCTATTTATCTGAAAAGTCTTTGTCTTGAATGAATTTCAATAGATGAATACAAATAAGCGTGGGTGGACGTGACAAGGTAATAAATATTGATATTAAAATTGAACTACCACACTAAAGAAGCGACTTGCAACGGCCATTTGTTTTAAAAGTTACTGTGACGGTTCGTTTACTTATTTGCGATAATTTTGGAACTGGGAGAGTTTTAAGGGCGAAATTGTCGTCCCACGACAAACCAATATTGACTTCCATCGAATTAAATAAGAAAGGATTTAAGGAGGTGGTTATTTTAATAATTCTAGACCTTACTTTTTAATTTTTCCCTTTGATCGGTTTTTTAATTTTTTTTTTTTTGCTTGGAGCAGAAGAGTTTGTAACCACAAGTTATGCTTATTGCTTTGTTTAATTTTTTCCCTCAAATTTTAAATTTGATTCTTGGTTGTAAAAATGCCCTCAAAAATATTCTGCTTAGCGTATTACAGTTGCACTAGAAGAGAATTCGGTAAGAAAAGGCCTCAAAGCCTTCCTCTTAAACAAAAAACAAACTGGACCTTCGGGGAATCTAAAAACAAAACAATTATGGTCGGTCGGCTTGTTTGATCCTGCAGTTTTTTCCAAACAGAACTAAGCAGGGATCTTAAGCAAACCACGACGGCGATGACAACGAGGACACGGAAAAGTAAAAGATCTAATTGGCAAAACAATAGCTCAGCACGTGCGGTTTAAAATTTTGTACATTTCTTTGCCGTCCTAAGCAAAACAACAACGTGATATCGCCACAATTTGCGTCGTGTGCGAACCGTAACCGCGACGGCAAATTATTTTAATTTCCATTTGGAACTCAACACTTCTTTTATACGTTATGCTGAAGTTGAGGTGTGACGCCTTATGAGACGGTATACACATGTAGCCATTTTTTAAATTCTAATTGAAGGTAGAAATTCATTTTTCAATCGAAGTCTTGGCGTTGCCGTCCTGACAGCTTAAGGTCTCCAACATAACTTTGGCGATGGTAAAACTTGTCACATTTTGCAACCTACTTCTTTTTCTTTTTGACCACGATAAGCTGATAAATTTACATACTATAGTTATTTTTCTTGGTTAGTTATTCAAAAAGTTAACTATCAGGCATGCAAGAGTGTTTGTTTTGCATTAGAAAAAAAGCGTTAAAAACTTTGTGATCTCAATGTTAAAACAAGCAATTTCTCTTAAAACGACATCAGTATCATATCTCTCTCCTAGCTCTTCGTACAAAATGAGATCTAATCCACAGCTACGTAATTTACACGAGCAAGTGACTTTGTGATGGAAAGCCCCTCGCAGAGAATCGATAGCTAAATGGTGGAATAGAAAAATTTGCCGGCAAAGTTTGTGATAATTCACTGAGATCGCTATACGAAACTTGTTTGTCAAATATCTTGTTTCGTGGAGACGTTTATTTAATAATTATTCACCGCAATGAAGGTGAATGATTCTTTTTGTTTTGTTTGTTTTTTTGTAAGAGAGCACGGTAACAGATCCTGCGATCTGATTTGTTCTTGGCGCGGTCCGTGTTATCTCATCTCTGCCCACAGGCATGGTAACGCTTTCGTGAGTCGCTGAGCACATCCCTACCTCCGTTGCCATTTTTCATAAATATATCTCGTTTTTCCGACTGGGAAGTATTTTTAAGCAAAGACTTCGGTCACTGCCTCAAGCTAATAAATAACTCATTAATCATCTCTTTTCTCCTTCTCAAATCCCTTTGGTGGACAGAAAAATATTGGTTTCGAAATGAATTTGCATGAACAAAAGTGTCATTAAATTGCCTAAAAACCGTCTGGAATTAATTTTAATCCTTGACAAAAAGTACCCAAAAGGTTAAAACGAGAGGTATTTTGATACAATTGAATTGATCGACGGAACTTTCATTCATTTAATATCTGAATTCTCTCAAACAATTTGCTCGTAGTGAAAGGGCGAGCGAAGTTTTTAGTTCTACTACAAATACGCTTTCGGTAAGTCTTTCCAAGTCCTTTAAATTTGGACATTTTTACCGTTAACAACAGAAACTGAAGGAAACGGAGAAAAAACCGCATTAAACCCCCTTGTGTTTAGTTGAAGTGTCTTATTCGAATTTAGTTTTTGTGGAGGAAAGAGCAGATTTACACACGCCATTGCAGCAAACAAACGAGCAAACTCTCACAACTTCAAAATAAAAAAATTGAATTTACTTACAATTACTTTCCTTTCCATTTACTTACTGAACAGAGTTAAAACTTCGGACATGAATTAATCGTCGATGAGAGTGAATAATACTTTCGAATGGTATGATG